AACCAAAATATGTCTGGGGTAGCCTGTTCCTAGGAATATTTGAAGAAATTAATTTGCGTCTCTGTTTAATTAAGTGCGACTGTGGCAGTGATTGATGGCTCATTGACAGTTCATGATAAACTCGTCTGACACTCCAAAGCAATCCAGCAAGAACAAAATTTCATCTACTTTGGAGCAAGGAAGTAATTCTGGATGAGTGGTAACAGTATCAACAGTCTGAAGAGAAGGGTCAGATTCGTCATTTGAGTAGTTTAATGTAATTTTATAGTCTGATGATTTTGATTTTAAGATGACGGTACTAAGATCTACATTGAATGAATCCAAGAACCACAAGGCCTTTTTGGTAGCTTTTCTGATTACCATTATCTTCTTTTCTGTCTTTCACCTACTTCATCTATTCCTTTTCCTTTATTTTCTGGAGCAGTGTAATTTGATGTAGACATAGTAAGCAACATTGCTTGTATTGTTGAATTTCTTTCCTGTAGTTCATTCCTATTGAAATGAAGATAAATTTTAAAAACTTCAATATTCTGATGAAGCACATACTTTAAATTATTTATTGTTGGCAAGAGAGAATCTACCAGAACAACATCTTTGGTCTTCACATCAATGACATACTTTTTTCCAGTAACCCATTCCTATATTTTTTATGTAGGAGAGATAGGTTACTGGAGAGTTGACGTGCTCTTGAAGAAAGGCGATCTTCCAGTGAACCAACAGCAGAGGAATTTTGGAGCAGTGGTTTCAATCCTTCACCTGTGACCTCTGTATTTATACCTTCACTCTGGAGCTGTGTCACTATAGATACATTTTTCTTTCTTTTATTTTGATTCAAATTCCTATTCTTTATTTCTAGGCAGCAAAAGACATCAGTGGAACCATTTAGTCTGGCCTTATTTCCTGCAGTTGGAAGAAGTGTAGCCATTCCCGCGATCTGCAGTATAATTTATTATTCATTGATAATTTCATACTATGAATAATTAATTATCCATTGTGCGTAGGTGTATCATAAGTGCATCCCACTTCAATCAGCTCAAGCCAACCCACAGTGCCGTATTTATCAAAGTTCTTTTTATTGGAAGAAAGAAAAAGAATGGTTATTTCATACAATAAGTTTACAAACTAAAAATTATTTTTTTAAAAAATGTTGTTTTCTACAATAACGGTCCATCTGCCTATATCACAATGGCCGCTGCTACTGAAGGCGAGTCCAAGCCATTCTTTAGTTGCAGCTACAAAAATGAGCCTAATATGACACAGAAAGTTTATTAGAATCATATTATAAGCTTACAATTTTCATTGTAGCTTCGGTTTCAGAACCATGGCAGCTTTTTCTAGTCTTCCATTTGCTTGCCCTATAATTGTGAACAATAATTTACTAAAGTAATTGACTCCGTATACTACTCCGTGTCAAAACATTTCTGGACATGTGGACCATGGCTGCTGAGGGGAGCAAGCGAGTGGAGGTAATTGGACTAAGCGATAAGCGGCAAATTACTGCTACATTTGCAGCTACACTTAACGGGGGACTTTTTGCCAATGCAAATTCTTTACCAAGGGAAAACAGGTCAGTCACATCCAAAATACAAGTTTCCAAGTGAATTTGACATTTTTTGCACACCGAATCATTGGACAAATGAAGAAACTTGTATTCGATTTTTTAGTAACATCATCTTTCCTTATGTCAAGCATCGGTAAAGCATCACAAAAAGCCCTAATTCTAATGCATAACTTTAGTGGCCAGACTACTGCTTCTGTTCTTGAGAAGAAGGAATTGTTATTGTATTTATTCCACCTGGAACAACAGATAGACTGCAGCCACTAGATGTCAGCACAAACAAAGCTGCCAAAGACTTTTTAAAAGAAAGTTTCCGACATTGGTATGCTAAGGAGGTAAAGAAGCAACTCCAAGCAGGCACAGAAGCAGAAGGAATTGAAGTGAACATGAAAATGCCAGTAATGAAGGAAGTTGGTGCAAAATGGCTTACAGCACTTTATGACAAATTTAAAATGGAAGAGAACAATAGTATCATAGCAAATAGGTTCAAAAAAGTTGGAATTACTGAAGTAGTGACAGTGGCAAGAGAGCATCAAGCTCCACTAACAATTGAAGTAGATGAAGACCCTTTTAATGACTGTGCTGAAGCTGAGGATACAGACAAATAGTTATATTGCATATATAATTTAAACAAGAGTACCAGTATTTAATAAATTATATGTCAACATTAATCAAGTTTATAATCAATGCTATAATCTTCTAGCAATGCCTTTAGCTTCTGGACTGCTTTATGAGAACCACTGATGACAGTGAAGATACATGGCACTTCCTGTCCTTTGCCTTTCTTTCTTTTTTCAGTTACCTCACATGATCCACTGCTAGCTCGGTTTAAAAAGTACCAAACTGTATTTGCAATTTCTCTCGGCACATGGCCAACCACAACACCATCTTTCAGCAAAGCAACTGATCTAGCATCATGGCTGTTATCTGTTCCTATCTGTAATGATAGCTTTTCTCCGAGAATAGGGGTCAAAATACATTTATATATGTGATGACCACGGATAACACTCTGCATGGTTAAAGAGTCTTGAGCAGTAGCCTGTTTATTAGGAGTAGCCTGTCCAGGAGTAGCCATTCCAATTAATTAACTTGTGGGTGTGGCTTGAATGTAAGCTATATTTTACAATTGTTAAAAACGCAAACTAGTTATTTTTTCAAATTCAGTATCTATTAGGTACGCTATTGAAACCCGGCTTACGGTATATAATTTATTAAAAACAACAAGAGGCTACATCGGTGAAACTGTTGCTGTAATAATTGTAAATTAATATTTTAGATGAAGATTTTGAGGGAAATTTAAGTACCATGTTGGCTCCAATAGAGGGCACAAATCAATATTGGTTCCGTGTGAAAGGTAAGGTCAAAGCAATGATTGCTGAGTATGGCTCACCAACACTTTTCCTAACACTAAGTTGTGCTTAATACGATTCAGCTCATATAGTGCAATATTTAAGAAAAGTGAATAATGCACCACCATCATATAGTATTTCCAGATTATGAACTGAGGATCCTTTTTCGGTATCGCGACAATTTTCATACAAGTTTAAGGACTTCTTTAACATAGTTATACTCCAGAGAAGTGTTTTTGGCACAGTAGAGCAATATTATGTTAAAAAAGAATATCAAATGCGTGGAGCACTTCATTATTATATCCTCAAATGGATTCAAAGCGCGCCTGTCATTGGTATCAATCCTCCTGATGAAGTCTGTTCTTTCATACAAGATAGGATAACGTGTGATATACCAGATAGCAATACGTCACCTGATTTAAACTTTTGTTAACAAAATACCAAAATGCACAAGTGCAGCAAATACTGCAAGCAATATATTAATGTCAGCAAGACCTATGTATCTAGATGTCGATTTTCCTAGACCATTACGAGATAGTATTTGTATCAATGATGTTGAAAATAGCTTGAAATCATGCAAAAAATATTTTATCTCAAACGAAATGAAAAAGAATCTTGAGTCAACGACTACAATCCTTTACTGTTGAAATTGTGGCCTGCAAATATGGACTTGCAATACATAGCAGAGAGGAGTCTTCCCTTAACACAGTATGTAACTGCATATGTCACTAATGCAGAAAAGAGTCATGTACAGGACTTATGGGATGAAGACAGCAGCTGTGACAACATAACATAGCAGGCTTTGGAAAATGGGACAAAAATTACTTCGAGCTAAAGAAGTTGGAGCTAGCAATCTTCTCAGTGAAAGTTTATACATGAAATTAGTAACCATGGAGTACGTTAATGTGTACTTGCCTTACAAGAGGAGCAGAAAAATAAAAAAATATTGATATTTAACTAAAATCGATCAATTGTATAGAGACAATCTTAATTCTTGCATAATTGAAGACTTTTATCCAACAAGACGTAATAACATGGAAGATGTATCTCTTTACAAATTTTTTGCTAATTACAAATTTGATAAAACAGGAGAAAATGGAGATGGAGAATACAAACTTCGATCAAAGCCAGTCCTTCCAAACCATACGAAATTTAATCGTATGCAATAAGTGGAAAGAGACGATTTTTATTACTCGCTAATATTTTTATTTGTGCCATTTAGAGACGAGAGCACACTCGTAATGGAAGGAGAAACAATGAAAGAAGCTTTTATGTGTCACAGATAAGCATCTATACGTGGCATTGAAAATCATATCAACAAACTACAGAAATTTTTAGAAGCTGAACGTAATTGGAAGGAGATAGTCGATGCAAGAAATAAAGCCGGTTTTACTGAAGAACTTCCTGATAACAAGGAAGATGATGAGCCTGAATTACTGGGTAAAATAATGGAAGCAGTAGCTCATATTGCTGACATGCATATAAATGTACCTAATTTAACATTAGAGCAGAGAGATAATGCTTAATGTAGGTCAAAAAAGAATTTTTGATAAAACTAATAGTCATCTTACAAGTCAAAAAGAACTTGAAGACTTCTTAGAGGACGAGTCTTCAAGACTACTTAGATTAGATAATATAAAAGCGCTAACGATGTTTATTAGTGGTGTAGGTGGAACTGGTAAATTGTTTCTAACAGAAGCAATAAAATGCCTAGTGGATGACATATGGCATCCAAAGAGTGGTGAAATTGTGTACTATAGTAGCACCAACAGGTATAGCTGCATTTAATGTAGGCGGACTAACAATACATTGATTCTTTCAGTTACCAATAGAGCATGAGGGAAAAACAGCTGGATATTCAGCTTTGAGTAAAGAAGCTCAGAAAAGGATTAAAATGACACCTAAAAATTATAATAGTAGACAAGGTATCTATGGTATCCAATCTAAATCTAGGATACTTACAACACATGCGCTTAGAAGATATATTTGGAACTGATGAATGGTTTGGATGCAAAAATATTTTATTTGTAGGTGACATCTTAAATTGCTACCAGTTAATGGTAGGCCCGTATTTAATAAAATTAGCAACAAACTAGTAAAAACTAGAGTTGGAGCAATAAATACAGTTAACATATGGAAAGTAACAGTAGAATATGATGAACTAAGAATCAATGAGCAACAAAAAGGAGATGAAACTTTCTTTAAGATGCTTGATTCTGTTAGGCATGGCTGTCTGACTGACATACAGCAAGTTCAAAAAATAGTAATGATGACATACAACTCATACTTTCTTTATCTTTCCTCCAATTTTATCCATTTTTAGTTCAGAATGAAAGACGAGATGAAACTGAGACAGCAGCTACAAAGTACCATGCATGATGTTAATGTAAAGCCACACCCATAATAATTTAGGAGGAGCCTGATAATAATTATTAGACATTAATTTTTTGTCAATAATTATCTTTACTTTGTTTAAAGAAAAATGTTTTGGCATTAATGCCACAGAAAATTATTACTGTCCTGTATGTCCATAAAAATGCATTTTTCTTTAATTTGATTTAACGACACTTCAATTTCACTACACCTATACATGTGCAAATAAAATAATTATTATTGACGAAGTCAAATATTTAAAATGATTACCTTGACAGTGGGTAAGAATATTGCCAAATATAAGGTGTAGGCATAGCTATCGTGTTAGTTAACAATAAAACTCTTGCTTTAACTTTTCCTAAAACAAGAAATATTTCAATAAATCCACAATAGTACTGATTATCTTGAAGAACAAACACTGCATAGTCACATCGTTTGCTGGATCTTCGATACTCTCTCAAAGTGATGTTGCCCACACCAGTTTTAAACAGCTGTTTTACTTCAGTGGGAAGTACAGTAATCAGCTTTCCATCATGATCGACGATAACATTACACCTACATGTACAGTATAATTATATGTACATGTGTATACAAAAATATTATACATACTTATTTTGTCTTGCTTTTAAGCAGCAACATTGATACAGAACTTTATCATTGACAGTAGACATTTTTGAGTGAACAAAATGAACAAAGCCAATTCTTTTAGGAATCTTAAAACATCAAACAAAATTAAAATTTTAGTTTCCTTACAATACAAGGTGATTTATTGATGAGAGTAATTATTTAGGCAAATTTGCCAGTGGAAAAATAATTTGCAAATTTTATACTGGGAATTTTGTGCCTCATGCCATGAGCATGCATGCTTAGACTCAAAAAATAGCAGATTTTATATTGGCGATTTCTTCATGGAACCAGAAATCGCCAATATTTATTTTTGTCAATAAAATTCATCTTCTATGGTATCATACTTGCATGTCGACTTTGTGTGTGCCATGGAGCAACTTCTTCAGAACAGAGTTAGAATTTTCAAACTCATAACAGGTATTAGCCCAAAGTGGCCCTAGCTCCTTAACGGACTGAGGTGAATGCAGTAGATAGTGAAGGTTTAGTGTAGCATGTCTTTCTCCTAAATACTAGCAAGA